AAATATTTTTTAACTGCTATGATTTAATTCTTAGACTTTTCTTGAAGTGTAAGCACTTTTTTAAAAAAAATTTAAACTTTTACATGTATTGCATGAAAATGTTACCTCCAATATGAGTTTCTTTTGGGATTTTAATATGGTGCTTATACCTTGTTCCTAAGTATTATAGTTCTGTTTATCTGGTGTATGTTTTGAACAGTTTTAAATAGTAGATTTTAATTATTCCAGTTCAAGCATATGCTGAAATAATTATTTAATACGGTAAAAGTAATACTATAGGTTTCAAACACATTGATGTATGTATAATTGATACAAGAAAAGTCTGGTAAAATGACTTTTGTAGTAAGTGAGGTCATTTTTAATATTCAAATGGAACACGGAGTATTTAGGATTTGTGAACAATTAATTAAATTATTTTTCTTTTTTCTTAAATTTTACAGTGTGTGATTAATAAAGTTTCACAAATAGAAGAAATAGACACAGATGTTGTTTTGAAGTAAGTATAAATATATAGGTTGGTGGTTATCAGTCAGGAAAAGATGATACATGCAAATTACAATAATTTAAAGAGGCTTTAGTTATGGAATTATTTACTAAGGTGTGAGCAGGGTGTAGGAGAAATCACAAGTGACAGTGTAGTACCGTTAAGAGACAAGGGAAGAGAGCGTTGACAGAATTCAGGAGAAAGACATGTAGTAGTTGGAAAAAAAGCTCTGACGTTGAGTAGAGGGAAGTAGTCATCCTGGGGCAACCATTCAGGGAGGGAGCTGGAGGAGTACCTTTCCTCCTTCCAGTCTTTGTAAGGCCAACCCCAGGAGGTTGTCCCCTCTGGACAGAGAACAGGGTAGAGAGCAATAGAATGGAGATATGGNGAACTGGTCTCCACATGGGATCCGAACCCTCGGCGGGAGCGCCGCCTCACTCCCAAGCGGCACACTCTCCAGTGCGCCACTGGGCCGGCCCATTGACTACTCTAGTCTTAGAGAGATTTAAACAAGTAGGAGTTGTTTGGTAATGACCTCTTCAACTCAAGATTCTGTGGTTTAGTTGGGTTTCTAGATAAAATTACATTTTATTCCTCTGTCACAAAATAATATTTAGTATAATTTTCTCCAATTTGTAAAATGTTATATTAGCCCAGAGACAATCATCATTTTTGTTTGAATATTTTTTTTCTAGGCTTGCAGATCAGATGAGAATGTTGAATTTTCCCCAGTGGTTTGATCTGCTGAAAGATATTTTCTCTAAGTTTACAATTTTCTTACAGAGAGTTAAGGTAAGCTTATGTATTGATTTTTCCAGAATATCCTTAAAATTAAGTCTGTTTTCTAGATATATTATATTTGTCTATTATATTCTCTCTCTCTATATATTTTATTCTAGTTTGATTCTATATATACACATGTACACAAATATACATACACATACACACACATGCATGTGTATATATACGTATGTATGATTCTATATATACATATTTGTTTTTGTGATTTTACTAAAGAGGCTTGGTTTTACTTTTTATTTATTTTTTATTTTTATTTTTATTTTTATTTTCGTTAAATTTTTATTTTGTCAATATACAATGTATATGATTATTATGGCCCA